TGATTTTTAAAAATCTTTCTGTCAAATGCTTAAAATTCTAGTGTAAGTAAAATCTTTTCACTAAAGCCGTTTGTCATTTCTAGTTTCGGGGACCAATTTTTGCTATAGTTTCTTATAAATTACCATCTTCAATCTTTATTTGTAGCTACTCCTTATATAAACAATTCCATAACTTAGGCTCTTACCTGTCCACGTAAATGTCCATTTTCTTTTTCTAATTGTGCAGCTCTAGCTGCCACTGCTTCTTCTTTCATTCGTCTTGCATCTCGTGATCGTTTCGCTGCATCGTTGTTTCGTCGTCTTCTCTCATAGTAGGCATCATCCTTTAAAAAGAATATATATTTCAAAAACTATCTCGATTTAACTATTTCATATTAAACCTTGGGAGTAAGTTCAGAAATTTTAGCTTTTACTTAAAAGTTTGACTGTTTTTTTTTCGACTAACTGGCTAAAAGGTAAACACAAAATTAATTCAAATTAAAAACAGAAATTTTTTAAAATTTGTTCCATATAAGGCTCCTCAATCCTCTCATCTCCTTTATGGATTCTTTTTCTTCCTGAATTTTCTAAAATGCACTTACGCAATTGTTAATCTCAGAAATTACTCAGGTCTCATATCATTTTCCTATCTGTCTTCTGGTTGTTTGTTCATGTATTTATTCAATTTATTTCTCAACTGCTCAGCTCATTTGTTTCACTCGCTACCGTAACCTTTTGACTCAAGAAATCTACAAATAACACCACCGTCCCCCTATATTTAGGTTACACCAGCAGCAATTAATCCCTACGTCTGTTGGCAGGAGCAGTTGTGGTTTTTTGTACGAGCACTGACTGACCTCACCGAGCGCAATAGGCGCAGGTAGCAGTTGCGCACTCGCCGCAAAGAGCCGTAGTGATGAGGTCAGCGGAGGTATGCATTACATAGGAGTGGAGTGGAAAGAGCTAAGAGGTAATTGAGGAGATTTTTCAGTTTGTGATAGATTGGTTTAAAAAATGCGGTCAGAAGTTGGTAAGATTGTCGAATGTTTGAA